CTAAATGAAATCAGGTAAAGCAGAGCCATCTAGTGTAGAGTAATTTCATTAAAAAAATATAAAAAAGGAGCACAGCATTTCCCCCATTTTTTGTTCATTTTTACCCGGCGCGAATGGGTTAACTGGTTATCAATTTACTGCTGATACACAGTGTCATCTATGAACTTCCTAGGAATCTCAGGTATTGTTTACATCCAAGAAAATTCAAGATAATGAGGGTTGCTGATGTCTTAGTATTCTTTGTTTTTTTTTTCTTTCCACAAAATTGGTCAACAAAAGAGTAAGATTTAACAAAGTTGCAACTAATAATGAAGTAGTGTATTTAGTATTTAGAATGATAGTAATGCTTATGTCCTCTCTTTCAGGTTTAAGGAACTGACTGCTAGTAATAAATCGGACAGAAGTTTCTATTCATATAATCCTTGCTACAGTTATGTTTTCCCACCTGAAGGTCAAGAAATGTCATGTAGCAAAGATGTAGCTGTAAGTTTTTTTTACAACTTTTTCTTGTATTACTTGTGCAAAGAGGTTCAAAAACAAGATTAGTCCACCTGATTAGCAGATTTTGCAAATATTTTTTAAGGGGAGAATGTAAGAGATACCTCCATAAGAAGTTGATATCAAAGTGAAGACTTTACATATTGCAGATGTGATAGTTGACTTCATGAATGGTGTATGTTGAATTATAATGGTAATTTAATTTAAGGTGAAATATGTATCAACATTAGAAAAAGGTAGATCCAGAATCAACTCTTACTTATACTCTGTACATTGTGATTCCTTACAAATTATGCCATCTTCATTTTCTGTTTTTAGGTGTGTCAGTCCAGTACTTCAGGTTTTATCAATATTGGGAAACAGAGTTTTGCAAAGTTTCATTTTGATAATTCAACAGACCAGTGGATACTTTCATATTTCAATGACATAGGAGATAGGTGAGTAATGGAAACCTGCATCCAAAAATATTATAGATGATATATGATGATTTTTTATGATTTTGAAATGTACTAACAGTAGTCATAAACATTTTTTGTGAAAGACATTTCACAGATTATTGATATCAAAGTTATCACAAATCACAGTATCAATAAGATTAATTTTTTTTTTTCTTTTGATTACAGGTTGTCAAATGTTATTTTACAGTGTACTGATAATGACGTTGATGTTCTTGAGGTATTTGGTGAAACAAAAGGCCAACATAGGAGTGTATTTGTAAGTTGAATATTTACATAAATTATATTTTTTCATATAGAAAAATGTAAAATGGTTCCTTACATGTAGCCTAGAATAAGAAAGAAGTAGAGCTATATAGCCCTACTTAGGATCTCATTTTGGAATATGTAAAATTTCTTTATATGTTAGTCATAACAAGTGGTTAACATTATCTTCATATAATAAAAATGTGTACAGCTTGCATATTATTATAGTATATTTAAAATCTTCCACTATATTGTGCATACACACACAGCTCAAAATTTTCAAATTTTCTGAAAAACAACTGACTTCTTTTCCCTCAGAACATGACCCTGAAATCCAAGTGTGCATGCATAGGGGGCTGTCTGACTCCTATCCTGCCCCACGGTATGTCTGTTGGGTCGCTGTTTCTGCTATTGCTCCTCATCTTCATTTGCGTTTACCTGGCAGTGGGATACCTGTACCGCCGCTATGTTATAGGTGCACGGGGCATTGAGTTGCTCCCGCACCTTAGCTTTTGGATGGACTTCCCATATCTTGTTCAGGTAAATTTATATTGCTTGTTTCATTTTTAATTGAATGATCTTTTTGTAATATTGTTATGGATTGATTTATATATTGTGTTGTTAACATACAAATGCATTTGGTTGTTTATTTATCTAAATAGATTTTTTTTTATGTATTTGTCAGTTTAATTGTTATCACTTATGTCTTCTGTAGGCAGTTGTTTCTGTGAGACTTTTATTGGTATTTTGTATGTGCCAATGTATGATAAGTCTTGTCTGTATGTGTGTTTTGTGTTGTTTGTCTTGTGTTGGGTCTCTGAACTGTTTTGTTATTGAATGATGCAATCTAGATATGCTGTGTGTGTGTGTGTGTGAATGAAAGTTGTAATGAAGTGACTCTAAGGAGTTGCTTTGTGGCTTTGATAGACTAGCAGAGAAAGGAAATCAGCATTTAAGATTTACTTTGATTTGTTAAGTTTTGGAGTTGAAATGTTTTAGCCACCTTTCCAGATAACCAGTATTTTGCATTCTTGGTATACAAATGTTCCATCTTGTATATACCAGTTTTTGTTTTTTGGCACTGACAGCTCCTATAATGATTATGTGCCTTCTAGTGGAGTGCAGGTGTTATGACCGTGATATTCTTATTTTGCCGAGTTCTTATCTTGATGGCTCATAGATGTTTGTAATTTTTTGTTAGTGTGTGCACAACCGTGTGTTATGTGATGTTGGTGAATGTAATTTGTTAATTTAATTTTTATCGTTACTGATATTTTAATATCATTATGATCATCATAATGTCAATAATGGTAATAACAGTATCAATAGCAACCCATTGAATCTGGATGACATGAGTGCCAAGTCATGAGAAAATTTGGCCAAGGAACAGATAAAGGGTGAATATGCTGTCATGTAAAGGTTTGGCTGAGGGACAGGGTGACAGGAATATGCTGCCATGAAAAAATCAACTGAGGGCTCACTTGACAGGAATGATTCATCATGAATGCACAAAACTCTTAGATTTGACTCAGTTGGTGCTTAGGCAGGTGCATTATTTCTACTGGTAAATGAGGGTTTAATGTAGCATCCTTGAACCATAGCTGGAATAGTGCTAGATCTAGGGAGGATACTATTTCAAAGACCTGAAAAAAAATGTTTAGGCACAGAAAGAGATAACATTGCAAAGGGAAAGCAGTGTTTATGTGGGCTTGGGGAAGTCACCTCTCAAGAAAGCCTAATGTTCTGATTTTGATGGGCCACAAAGCATCATAGGTCCAAAGGGTTAAAAGCATTAAAAAAAACAAATTTTCCTGCAAGTTCAAGGAATAGGGAAACCAGGCACAGTAACCAGGGCCTATTTATTAACTTCTTGTTAAGTGGTGATAGTGTGGGTGTGTCTGTATCCATATGTTGTTTGAGGTTGTGTGTCTGCAGTGTAGATACTCATTGCCTCTGCAAGGATGTGCAGTACTTGCATGTAGTGATGAACTCCATGGGTCTTTTCTGAGTATTAGAAAGGATTTGGTCTCTTCTGATAAAAATGAATTACTTTTATTGATATAATTATCATTAGTGATTTTGTTCAACTGAAAAAGGTTTATGGTGTTGATAGTAATCTTACTTGTTTCCTTTCAGGATGGATTCTTTTTCCTGCTGTATTGTGGAAGGAGAGATGTTACTTATGAAAGAATATGAAGTGAAGCTTTATATTGCTGGAGTAGCTTTTATACATTCATTTCTTTATTTTTCTTGCCTCTATATGAACTAGGAGCAACAGCCTAGTGAAATGTAATTAGAAATTCCAAGTTGCTTCATATACAGCCTGTTACTTACACTAGCATTAACAAGTTTTATATTACTCAGCTGCAACCCTGTTCTCCCATGCAATGCACTAGTCATTCATTCTTATGACACTGTAAAGCATGGTTCTTTGTGACAGTGCTCTTATGTTTTGCTCTGCTGTTTCCCTTTATTTGGCTCCATCAAAGCAGGAAGGGGGCTTCCAAACTTTCCTGCAATCTGTTGTGGAATATGGACAGCACACAAGGGATTCCTGCATGTCATCTTGGAATACAGAGCAACTCCATCAGGACTTATGCACCTAAAGTGTGGGAATCTACTAGTATAAGAAACAGGTTAGCAGGTTATAAGTGAAACAAATTACATTTTCTTACTTAAAATAATTTTTTTCACTCCCCTGTTATTTATACTCATAACCGCCCCCCTCCTCCTCCTCCTCCCTACTCCATTCCATATCTCAAGAATGAATGACAAGTGCACGGGAGAACAAGATTGCCAACACAGCAGAATATGACAAAATTGTTAAATGTGGGAATGTAGACAAAGCTGGGAAGTATGAACATTGTTAATGCTAGTATTAGAAACATAAGTGAAAATGTAGATTGCAAAAATTAGAATACAAAAAATGATAGATCATTCATATTTTTTTATTATCAGATTGGAGATATTATCTGTCATTCAATATTATGATAGATTTTCCTTGGTCAGAAGTCAAGGAAAAGGATTGAGATTCCATTCCACGATGAGTCTAAGTTTTGTAAATGAAGATTTGATAGGGGATCAGCAGTGTTTATATAATCTATATTTTGCTCTCATATGTGGATTTTTTTTTCTCTTTCTTTCTTTTCTAACCATCATTGCAAATTTTATATTGATATTGATAGGAAGGGATAATCTTTGTTGAGTCAGTGCTAATGGCCTTAGATGTTGGCAGAGAGAAAAAAAATGGATCAAGTATGCAATCTTTCTTAGATTTAAAAGTGGTGCTTGGCTCTTAATTTTCCAAGACACAAGTACTTATGTTTGTATACAGTCACCTAAATTGTTTAGTAGTCTGTGTAATAAAGCCTGATCAACTTAAATTTTAGAGGCTTTTTAGAGATGCATTGTAAATCTGCTTTGAAGAATGATTTTTGTTATTGTGAAAATTACAAATTATGACATTTGTGATGGAGAACTCATGTTTAGATAATAAGATGTTCTCTGTAAAGCAAATATAGATACACTTGTTTCGTAGATGAATTTCACCCAAAATGACAAGCAAGGTCTGTAAATAAGCCTAGTACTCAACTGTATCTTATTTAAAAGTTCCAGTTCCACTCTTTTCAGATTTCTGGGTCTACATCAACTTTGGCTTTGATTTGATTGTTACAATTAGTGTAGAACAGTAAGAAATGTTAGTAAATTGACCAAAGCAATTCCCCCATTTTATATATGCTATGATGGAGTCGAGAAAAAACATGAATCACACACCAGAATGATATTGTTAATTATGTTATGTACTTAATGTACAAAACAGTGATGGGGTTGTCTGATGTGATGAATAATCCTGTTATAGGGTTATAGATGCCTTATTTAGGATTAATTTCCCTCAAATGGTTTAGGCAGAGGAGTTGGGAAGACATATTTTTTATAGAATATCCATGACAAAAATGTCACTTTTATACAAATGAAATATTTTTTTCTGTTATATGAATGACTATTTTCATGTTATTTTTACATCAGAGTTATTATGATTATCTAAGGGATTGCAGCTGTTAATACAGTGATATTGTCTTAGATTGGTAAATAGATTTCATATGAAGTGATGGTAAGCAGAGTAATATTTCATGAATGAATTATTTCTGTATTACTGAACAGACTAACATAATTATGTAATAATGTGGATTTGATTTGTATTTTTGTATCAGTAAGGTTGTGATATATTTGTATTGCTCTTACATCATGCTTTATATTTTTCTCTGTTTCAAAAGAGTTGTGATCTTACTGTATGTATGAAATTTGAGGCAACAAAAAGTTTATGGAACTTACACAACACAATTAACTCTGATTGCTGGAACTAAATAGAAAATAAATAATATCTGAAAATGTGAGATGCAAAGTGGCAATGTTTTTAAAGCGTAAGGTAGAAGAGAGTGCTGGAATTAAATGATTGTAAAAGTTACAGTGCTTTTATGTTGTTTTTAAACTTCTTCATATAAGAGAGTTTGAATGTTGTCTCAACAGATGAAATAGGTAGCATTTTTGTGAAAACTTATTTTCTGAACAATTTTTATAGCTTTAAGTGTGTGATATGCTCGTAAATCTTAGGATCATAGGTAATTAGTCCTTAGCTCATACCCAGATATAAAAGTGGTAAATTATATGGCAAGTGCCTTATTTCTTCATCAGCAATTTCTTTTGTCAAAAGATTTTGTATTGCATTTTTGCAGATTATGTTCATTCTCTTGTTTTACGTTTCTCATTTTCAAATCTCTGAACCATGTTGTGTATAGTCAAAAGGCTAGGAATTTTTTTTTGTATCTTCATAAATTATCCCTAGGAAGTTGTACAGCATTAACTATAAAAGCTCTCTTTTATTTCTTAGGCCATTTGGTTTTGATCAGTGTCAAGGGAATCACATATTTCAATCATTTCCAATCATGAGTTTAATGGTAACAAGGTGAAAACTCAAAAGTAAGGTAAGATTGGAGAGTTCCGTAGAGTGAAATCGAAAATTATAATGTTTCCATTTTGAATGACTTCAGAATATTTCTTGTGAAATTTGGATACAATGTTTACTGAAACATATCTTTGAAGAATACAGTTTCCTATTTTTTCTACAAGCCTTTTATTCACCTGAGTTGACTCGCTACTGGAGATACTGAGTCAGAAATAGAAGAAAGGAAAAAATTAAGAGAGAGAAGAAAGAAGAAATTCCAAAAAAGGATAATGAGCAAGTGAAGGTAAAAAGCAAAATATTTTATTCGACACAGACTTTAGTTTTGAGGTATCAGTAGTTTAGGACAAAATAAGCTTTCACAACTTTAATAATATAATTCACACACAAAACATCTTATGAATTAAATCTCAATTTGTACTTTTACAAAAATAGCAAACTCCAGATATTTACATACTGGATGGAATAACAGGTACATTGATATGTTTGTTTCAGCAATATTTCCTTTCATGGACATGAATTGCTAAGAAATTGTGCTCCATAATCACAATTAAAAATAATGACTAGTAGATACAAAATATATAAAAGTATATTGCAAAGGAAATTTCCATTTATCACAACTGAAGAATTAACTTAACTGAAAGTAAAGAACTAAATTCACATAATAAAACTAAAGGCAATCCAAAAAACACAGCATCAGAAGCTGAGGAATTTTGGAAGTGAAGTTAAAAGACGGTTAAATTTCTTGGTTTCACAAGCCATTATTAACTGTCACCCTGTGGTCCACGACCTTTAATAGTTATCTCACAACAAAGACAATTTATTGTGGAGCACTCTGGTGTTGTGCAACTACAAGTACAACTACTACAGTCGCACAAAGGTCCTGGAGCACAGGCAGAAGGGGAAGAGCACCAGTTATAGCAGTTGTTGCAGTTTATGCAAGGATTCTCACAGCAACTTGTGCAGGATGTACACTCTGAATAATCTGGACAAGGTCCACATGCCTCTGGGTGAAGGCAATTGCATTCCTGAAATCATAAGATTTTTTTTGTGAAAACTTAAAACCTGTAATTTTAAGTGAGAGTTCCCCTTGTGATTTTTAGAGGAATTACATATACATATGTACATAAATATACATACAATAAGACAACTACCTATTCTTCTATCTACTATATATAACTGTCCATCTATATCCAAGCAATATACATACCTGATTTCCTGGGCAACAGCAGTCTAATAACATAGAACATGAAGGCTTTGGTCCACAGCAAGAACAGGCTTGGGCGCATCGTAAGCCTATTTCAGCGCAGTTACAGCAAGGAATATGGGGGCAGCCTCCCC